CTTACCTTTGAATTTTGCCCAGATTGGTGTTTTTTGTGATATGGCCTTGCTATGTAGTCCAGACTACCCTTGAACTCAGTGTATATCCCAGGGTGGTACTGGCCTCCAAGTGCTAGGATTACAGGCGTGTGCCACTATGCCTGGCTCCCACAGATTTTGTTTATTGTGGTACTAGGAAATAAACTCAAGGCCTTCCACTGAGCCACACTCCCCGACCCCGCCATTTTTTTTTTTTTTTTTTTTTTAGTGTGACTATGTATCTCAGACTGGCCCAGAACTCACAATGTTGTCCAGACTGGGCTTGAACCTGCGATCCTCGTGCCCCAGCACTCCTGGTGGTGGGATAACAGGCATGTGCTGCCGCGCCCAACTGAAAAAAATCTGAAATCAATTCAGTACACAAGTTTAAATGGCACAGTATCTGTTTTATTTCAGCACTTTTTTTTTTAATGATGCAAGAAAGTGCAAGCCAGTTCATTATTGAAAGAATGTTTTTTGTTTATTTTTGATACAGGGTCTCCCTTTGTAGTTCAAGGTGGCCTTGAACTCATTGTAGCTCAGCTGACCTTGAATTCACAGCAGTCTTCCTGCCTCAGCCTCTAATAGGTGCTGGGATTATAGGTGTGTGCTGCCATGGCCTGCCTTGGAAGAAATTCTTTTTTATAAAGTTTTAATTTTTATGGTGATGACTGAAGCATAGAAGAAAACTTTTATTTTCAATTTTGTATAATGTGTCCTTTATGTCCTATTTCTCTAGTATCACATTTCAACTGGAATAAAAAATTTAATTCAGTTTTATGGAACTGAAGAGTTATAGTTCCTTTTAAAATATTAAAGCAAATTTCAACATATAATGTTATGTGTTCATAATACAGTTTTTATTAGCTTGAGGCACAGTACTATGTGAATTCCCTGAGTGCAATACCCATAACCAAATAAAATGTAAATTGGGGGCCAGGGATTTAGCTCAGTGGTTTTGACACCTGCTGCGCAAGCACAAGGGCCCAAGTTAAATCCCCGGCACCAAAATAAATGAATGAATGAATGAATGAATGAATGTAAATAGATCCTGAAGTAAAAAAAAATTTTTTTGTGTGGTACTGGGGATTGAGCCCAGGGTCTCACCCTCTCTAGGCAAGTGCTGAGCTATATCCCCAGCCCCAAAATGGGCTTTCCACTATTTAGTGTTGATATTGTATATCCCTAAAAAAAGACCCTTAGATACACAGTGGCTTGAAATTTCACAAAACTAGTATTTTCTGTAGTTTGACTATGTGACCACTGCATTTTACTAAAGTGAAAAGGCACTTTTTTTTTTTTTGGTACCAGGGATCGAACTCTGGTCCTTGCACTTTTGAGGCAGGCAGTGTAACCACTGAGTTAAATCCCCAGCCCTCAAGGTGCTTTCTTAATGTGGGACTTCAGTGTGCTCTTTTGATTAAAAATCTCTAGGATGTAAAAATGTGGCAGTGAGATCTCCCTTTGTTAGTATTATTTGCAGTGCTGGGGATGGAACCCAGAGCTTCATGCATGTTAGGCAAGCGCTCTACCACTACCCTACATTCCCAGCCCAACATCTGTATTTTAAAAATTTCCCTTAATGAACCAGGTGTGGTGGCGCACACCTGTAATTCCAGCATTTGGGAGGCTGAGGCAGGAGGATTACCCTGAGTTCGAGGCCAGCCTGGGTAACATGGTGAGTTCAAGGCCAGCCTGAAGTACATAGCAAGACCCTGTTTCAAAAAAAATTTTTTTTTTTTGGTCTTTAACAATAGTGTCCAGACCCAGTGGACAGAAAATCAAATGGTTCTAAGGCCCCTCCCTAGCATTTGTATGGTGAGGACAAAAGGAAACAGACCACATATAAGAAACACTGGGAAGCTTTAAAAAATTGACACCCAGGGGCTGGGGATTCAGCTCAGTGGTTTTGCTGCTTTGAGAAAGCCGCCTGCTGCAAGAAAGCGAAAGGGCAAGGACCGGAGTTCAATCCCCGGTACCAAAAAAAAAAAAAAAATTGACGCCCAGGCTATGCCTGCCAGAGATTCTGATTTGCATAAGCATCTATTGCTAGGGATTGAACCCAGGGCCTTGGCACTTGAGGCAAGCATTCTACCCTGAGCCATGCCCACAATCTCCTAATTTTTTCAGCTAAAGTCTTACTAAATTGTTCACCTTTGTTTCCATTTTTTCCTTCTATTTTTTTTTCTTGTCCCTTCCTTCCTTTCTCCCTCCCTCCTCCCTTGTTCCTCTTCCCAGTTGAACACTTTCTTCCCACTTCCCAATTTCTATTATACATTTCAGTCTTTATTTCCACTTTTGATTTCTCACACCAGAGAAACCATTGGGTATTTAAACATATGTTTCTGATTTATTTCACTTAAGAGTATAGCATCTACATTTTATTTCATTTTATTTATTTATTTTGGTACTAGGGATTGAACTCAGGACCTTGCACTTGCAAAGCAGGTACCCTTGAGACAGAATTGGCACCACTGAGCTAAATCCCCGGCCCTAGCATCTGTATTTTGAAAAGCTGCAGGAATGATTTTAATGTGCAGCTAAGGTTGAGAACTTGTGATATAGGCCCAAGTATTCTATTTCTTTTACAGGTAAGTAAAAATAAGTTACTGTGTTTTGTTTTTGGCTGTAGCAGGGATTGAGCCCAGGATCTTCACATCGAGCTAACATCTCCAGCCTGTTTTTTAAATTTTTTACTTTGGGATCAGGTTTCACTAAGTCACTAAATTGTCCAGACTGGGCTTGAATTTGTGATCCTCCTGTCTCAGCCTTCCAAAGTGCTGGGATTATAGGTGTGTGCCATCAGGCCTGGTTAAATTACTCTTCAGTAAGGAAGTAAGCAGTTTAAGTAATATCATTAAGGAATTAATTTTCCTTTGATCCCCAGCACTAGAAAAAAAATTTTTTCCCAGTGGAATGAAGAAACTATATAATAGAATGCACATTCAGAAATGTAAGAGTGAAGCAAAGTATAACAAACTCTTGGATGTACTTTCTAAGATGTATTCAATATAATTGAGTTTTCAAGTGATTTGATCAAGCCCAGAAGTGAAAAGCCAACTGGAATTTATTTCCCTGGCCTTGGTTTCCTATTTAATGGTGAGAGAGTGTGCAATGCGTTTTACTGCCATGAAAGAACAGAAAGGAAAGAGCTGAAAAGTCCAGCATGCTATTTAGTTTTAAAATGTTCTGCCTTTACGAGTACCCCCCGCTTTTTTTTTGGTACCAGGGATCAAACTTGGGTCTTTGTGCTTGCAAGGCAGGCAGCAGGCAGCGGAACCACTGCGCTAAATCCCCGCCCTGTTTTATTGTTAATATTATATTTTAAAATATCTGAGTTTGTGGTATTAATACAGGTCTGTAGGGAGGCTGATATTCGAATATGAAGTTTATAGCTCACCTGTGGATTTCATTTTTCTGATCCATAAACAGTAAAGAGACTTGGAACAAAGAACAAGCGACATGTTGAAGCCATCATTACCACTGAGATCCCTCTTACTCCTGCAGCTACCTTTGCTGGGGGTGGGGCTGAACTCAACGGTCCTTATGCCCAGTGGGAATGAAGACACCACAGCTGATTCCTTCTTGACCTCTGAGACCCCCAGGTCTCTCAACATTTCCATCCTGCCCCTCCCAGAGGTTCAGTGCTTTGTATTCAATGGTGAGTACACGAATTGCACTTGGAATAGCAGCTCTGAGCACCAGCCTACCAACCTGACTCTGCGATATGGGTACATGAACTCTGATAATTATAAAGTCCAGGAGTGTGGTCACTATCTGTTCTCAAAAGAGATTATTTCCAGCTGTTGACTGCAAGAAAATGAGATCCGTCTCTATGAAACATTTGGTGTCCAGCTGCAAGACCCATGAGAACCCAGGAGGCAGATGGAACAGAAGCTAAAACTGCAGAACCTGGTGGTGATCCTTTGGGCTCCAGAGAATCTAACACTTCGCAACCTGAGTGAATCCCAGCTAGAACTGAGCTGGAGCAACAGATACTCTTTGGACCGCTGTTTGCAGCATTTGGTGCAGTATCAGAGCAACTGGGATAGCAGCTGGACTGAACAACAAGTAGGTCAGAAACAGCTTCTCCCTTCCTAGTGTCGATGGGCAGAAACTACACATTCCGGGTTCAGAGCCGCTTTAACCCACTCTGCGGAAGTGCTCAGTGTTGAAGTGAATGGAGCCACCCAGTCCACTGGGGAAGCAATACTTCAAAGGGACAATGCCTCGAATTCCCACCCTCAAGAACCTAGAGGATCTGGTCACTGAATACCATGGGAACTTTTCGGCCTGGAGTGTGTCTAAGGGACTGGCTGAGTGAGAGTCTGCAACTAGACTACAGTGAATGGCTCTGCCATGTCAGTGAGGTGCCCCCAAAAGAAGAGGCCCAGGGGAGGGGCCTGGGGGCTCCTCCTGCAGCCAGCCCGACTGGGCTCCCCCACATTACGTCCTTAAGCCTGAAACCCCCAAAACCCGAGTCCCAATTCCCTGACAGAAGCCGAGCATCCTATAGCTGTGTTACTAACTCCCTCTCATCCACCCTTCCGATCCGGGCCAATGCTCATTCCATCTCCTGTGGCTCATTTTGGATTTGGTGCCCCATGTAATTGCCCCTTAATTCACTATCCCCTACTTGAGAACTGCCCCTTTATCCCCCAGTCTCATGTTTCTCATATCCCCCTTCCTTTTTTGGTACTGGGGATGGAACTCAGGTCCTTGCGCTTGTGCAGCAACCCCCTTCCTTTTTATAGGATTCTTTGCCCCTTTGTCCCTCTTTCCCTCCCTGGTACCACCTATCCTTTAATTATTCCCAGAATCAATGAGAAATAAAGTTTCTGTTGATAATTAAAAAAAAATAGTAAAGAGACTCCTGTATTATAAACTATTAAGTTTACCTCACAACATATAAAACAGCTGGCCCAATGCCATTTCTGTAATAACCTGAATTCTATCATCAACATTCTATAACTAAAGTCACATCCTTTATATAACATTTATTCTGTATAGGATTTGTCCACATACAATGACTAAACAATTAACTTAAAAACAATGGATTTTTTTATATAAAAGCATCTTATAAAATAGAGTGATACATAATACAGCTCAGTGAATTAAACTGATATCCTAGGATTCAGAAAATCTGGTACTTCAACTTCTGTTTGCCATTGTTTGTCTGACTATCTTATGTAGGTTAACTGTTTCATGCCTCTATTTATTCACCTTTCATGTGTGATAACTGTCCTACTTAAAGATATGTAAGGAAAAATATAATCATTAAATACTTTGCAAACATTAAATGCCATACAAATGATAAATAGTAATACTGATACACTCTAATATAACATAGGGCTTTCCATGTAAAATCTAGTTTGGTCTTGTACTTGTTATTCTCACTCTTTCCAGTTAAAAACATCTTATGCTTTACTGTTTTGAGTGATTTTTCATACTGTTAATTCTAGCACTTAAATAATTGAAACACCAAACTTTTTTCACCCATGAGCAGTAACGTGGTCACATAATAAGCAGTAACTATGTTTGTTTTGATTGTATTACTCAAAAATATAAAACCAAAAATATTAAAACTTTGGTTCTTAAGTTTTATGATTATAGAAGGAAGATCATATGCTAAGGGTGTGATTTACTTCACTGAGAGCCCTATGAATTTACCTGCTTATAAACACAGTAACATGAGAAATGAAGTGAAACTGCAATGCTGGAAGAATTCAAGAAGTTATCTGGTTCCACTGTTTTCAGTTGAGCTCCAAGTGCTGCAGAGATGTCTGGGGAAAGGTTCATGGAGTCTCTAACCTGATCAGCTCCAATTTTAGAGCTTAGTCCCCAGTTGCTGAGCTTCTCTGTGAAACAATTTATTTGAAGAATTGAAAAAAAAATCTTGAGTAAACAAACCTATCCTTTGAACTTCTGCCATTTTCCTTCTTCCAGACACTAGGTACAAATGCAGTGGTGCTTTATTTTTCCAAAACTCCATGCTATCAACCAGACATTCTTAAGGACAATAAAATTAGAAGGGCATTCAGAAGCTGACAAACAGTATCTCTGCAAAAGCAAACTTTGATCTAAATAATTCCCATTATTCTTGATGTTAAAAGAAATTCCTTGCATAAATAAAGCTTATTTAAACAGATTATACTCCTATGTAACATTTTCCCACTTTTTTTTTTGTACCAGGGATTGAACTCAGGACCTTGCACTTGCAAGGCAGGCGCAGCACCACTGAGCTAAATCCCTGGCCCACATTTTCCCACATTTAAAAGTCAAAAAATAACTTTCTCAGAAATCAGCAATAGACAGTTTCACTCTAGAAAATAACTGGTCTCTAAAGTCTTAGGTGGATATGTTACGATAAATGAAGTCATTATTTACAACTTACAAATGTCTTAAATATTTTTTAGGATGCTGAAATGATAGTACACATGCTGTGGTGAACTCGGTAGCTGTTCTGTGGGGATCGTTTGCTGCTTGTTAGAAACAGTTATAGACAGTGTCCTTTCTGAAACGGCAATGAAAGTGCTGCTGGCACTATGTTCAGTGGACTTTGCTGATGTTCATGCTGATGTGTGTAGTTTGCATGCAGAAGATAATAGCATAAAATAACATTTAGATCATAGACTAAAGTGCATTAGAGTACACACATGCAAGCACTAATTCATTTCTATGAATAAAGCTCGAATCAGCCATGTTTCCTCTTGACCTCAACAACTAAAATTCAGGTTATAAGTTTGAAAGCTGTTAGTATCACTCTGGTAAGACTAGAGAATGGCAGGTGATGCCTCCCTCATTAGGATACAACTTAATTGTTAGGAACCCTGACTCAGGAACAGTCCTGTTGTGAGAACGATGAACTCAATGCACACTAACCAGTCTTGAAACAACTAGAAATTTGCCAGCATAACCTTAGAAAAGCCCCAGAATGAAGGATCAAAGCAAAGTAGTTATTCACCTACTGATAACATTTTTATAAGCCACAAACTGTTATCAAGGACAATCATTCATTAAAAATAATAGAAAGTTTGCAGCCAGCCTGAACACTTTAACAAGACCCTGTCTCTAGGGATGGTGGAACATGACTATAATCCCAGCACTCTGGAAAGCTGAAGCTGAAGGATCATAAGTCCAAGCCCAGCCTAGGCAACTTAGTGATATAAGGAGACCCTGTCTCAAAATAAGTTGCTGGGGATGTAGCTCGGTGTGAAGGACTTGGGTTCAATCCCCTGTACTGCAAACTAAACAAACAAAAAAAAGGCTGAGGATATAGTTCAGTGGTAGAGTGCCCTGGGTTGGATCTGCAGTACTAAACAGAACAGTACAGAACAAAACAAAAAAAGGAGAAAATAACAAAAAATATCATCAAAGCTGGGCATGGTGGCACAGGTCTGTAATCCCAGCACTAGGGAGACAGAGGCAGGAGAATTGCTGTCAGTTCAAGGCCAGTTTGAACTGCATAGTGAGACTCTGTCTCAAAAAACACAAAAACAAAAGCAAAAAAACCCCAGTATCGTCAAGGTATTTTATGGCCTTTAAAAAAACAATATAATAGGGCTAGGGATTGAGCTCAGTGGTGCCACTGCCTGCCTCAAAAGCACAAGGTCCCGAGTTCCATCCCCGGTACCAAAAAAAAACCCAAAAACCCCAAAAAACAATACATGGAGCTTCTCTATAGCACAATTAAGTTATATCAAGCTTTACTGTGATAACTTGTAGAGATCTTTATGAAGTTCAGTTCTTCTGATATTAGATTTTATCTTTAGAACTAAAATAATTCTCCTTCAACTTGACATTAATTTTGGAATGTTTCATAATTCCTACATGGGAGGAATTTAAACTTTGTATTCTAGGAGGAAAGTTTATTGACAGGCCTTCTTTGTTTTTGGTACTGGGGACTGAACTCAGGACCCTACACTTGCGAGGCAGGCGGCAGCACCACTGGGCTAGATCCCTGGCCTTGACAGGTCTTCTTTACATACTTCCTGGACTTTTACGCAGTACAGTATATGTTTCCTGTTTTAAAAAATGATCCCTGAGCCACGCATGATGCTACACACCTACATCCCAGCACTCTGGGAGGCTGAGGCAGGAGGATCACAAATTCAAGCCCAGCCTGGCAATTTAACAAGTTAGCGAGACTGTCTCAAAAAAAAAAGTCTGTATATACTCTGTGATCAGCCTTTAAACTTTTTTTTTTTAACAATACTGACTACATAACAATAATTTTGCTGGGCACCTCTCACTATGTAGTTCAGGGTGTCCTTGAACTCATTATGTAGCCCAGGCTGGCCTCAACTTGCAGCAATTCTCCTGCCTGGTCTCCCAAGTGCTGGGATTACAGGCGTGTGCCACCACACCTGGCTTGACAAAAATTTTAAATAGGAAGAATTTCAAGTATTTTAGATTAGTCTTCAGTCATAATCCCAAACTGTTTATGATATGAGAATAATGATAGGTTGTTTCAGATCTGAAATTAATAGAAAGACTTACTATCTCAGGCAGGTGGGTTGCCAGACCCTTAAATGTGCTCTTACTTGGTTCCCTGTGAAATTCAATATTGGCAGAGCATGTAGTTTTGAAACACCTTAAAATTATCTTACATAAAGTTTGGTTGTGATAAATTTATTTAAAATATTTTCTTTGAAAAAAGTCTGCTAAGTAGATCTTCTGATATTAAAAGAAAAAAGGTGTCTCTGTAATAAAGTAAGAGGATAACTGTTCATCCATCATGCCAACTCAAGTCATGTCTTTTTTTCCAGTGCAGCAACATATTTAGGGCAACAAAGTTCAGAATGAATACAATGGCCTGTTCAGAAAACATGCAAGTTACATCGGGTCATTTTTTAAGTCAGTAGGATAAATTTGTTAACCAAACTCTGACCATGGAAAGAGAGATACAGGAAGTCAATATAAACTGCAGACATGCCAGTGCCATCGGTCCACATTACAGCTACCTAATGTTGGGCTTTATTTCCTTTTCTTCTTCTTCTTCACTATCGTCAACCTGTTGTATGACCAGATCGGCAGACCCATCCTCTACAATCTCCACATAGGATCTATTCTCATCTTCACTCAAGTGCCACCGAGAATCCTTATCTCCATCTGATGGGGACATGAGATGTTGCTCAGCTTCCAAATCAATGGGAAGGCTGTCTATGCCAACTTCAGCAAGGCACTCATTACACAGTCTGTAGCGCCTGGTTCCTTCCTGTACCACTTGCCCTGTTAAGTCAGTCACATGGCGTTTGCATTTTCTGCAGATTAGTTTGCATGCCTGGTGAATCTGCGTAGAGATTTAAATAGTGGTAAAAAATAATTTTTCAAAAGGAGGACAATTTGATATCTTAGCTATCAGTTCATAAACTTCAGATGTTCAAAGCCAAGCATTAAACTCAAATATCTAATTATTAGAAAAGATCTTAGGTTCTGGTGATAAATCTGTGTCACAGAAATATTAAACACTACCTTTCTGTAAATAATGGCTATAATCTGGTAAATCCCTTAACCCAGTAATACTTTATTTGTTTTGTTTTGTTTTGTTTGGTACCGGGGATCAAACTTGGGACCTTACACTTGGGAGGCAGGCAGCGAAACCACTGAGCTAAATCCCCGGCCCTCCAGTATATTTTAATATCTGAGGTAACAAAGGGATACTTTCCCAGAATAATAATAACTACAAACACTGACTAGGTGCCATGTACTATTCTAAGGACTTCGCATAATTTTATTCAGGGAGAAAAAACTTTTGTTTCATATAAGTGTCAATTTTTTATTAATAAAAGATATGCTAGGAGGACCATGCTGGAAATTCAAAGGGTTGAGTCCTAATTCTGGTTTTGCAACTTATTATCTGTGGTGATTACTACTATGTATCTTGGAGCGAGTAATTTTACTTTGTTTTTGGGTACCGGGGATCAAACTCAGGACCTTGCAATTGCAAGGCAGCCACAGTGCCACTGAGCTAAATCCCCAGCAAAGCAAGCAATTTTAAACACTTTAACCATGCTTTCAAGGTGACAGCTAAAATACTTAACTGGTATGGCAGGGGCACCACCCAGACAGACGGGAACCCGACCATCCCAATGGACACTGGTAATAACAAGCTGTACAGTGGTTCTTCACACATTAACCTATTCCTCTCCCTGCCTCCCCGCTTATTACTTATGGGAATACTATCCACAGGGTTGATATAAGGATCAAATGAGTTAATAGATATGAATTCTTTGGTTAAAAAGTTATAACGGATGAATGATTAAATATATATCATCACAGTTAGTAATAAAGAACTTCAATAGCTGTTAGAGTGGCAGATTATGGGTTCTAATCTAAAAATTATGATAATTATATACTGTTGGATTAATGTTTATGGAATATTCATTTAGATAAAGCCAGGACAGTATGGAAGTAAGTCACCAAACATAGCAAAAATGTCTCAGAAAACTAATAGAGTCTGGTAAAATATCTAAGAAAATGTATGGAACACTATTCAGAACAGTTATTATCTTCTGCTTAACTGTTGACATATTAATCAGTAAATACAGTTTGAATGAATTCTTATTTCTCTTGAGACATTCTCAATGCCACATATAGTACATGCTGTTTTTGTTACAAAGTTTTGACAGAGATTTGGGTCCATCCCTCCAATTCCAATACAATTATAAAGTCAAAGAAATTAAGGAAAACATTATGTTAAAATTGAAAAATATCAACATGAACTCATTTTAAATAT